ACTCAGCCATAAAGAATGAGAAACTAGAGACATTTATAGCTAAATGGATGCATATTGAGGCCATACTCCTAAGTGAAATAAATAGGACACACATGTGTAAGTACTGAATAGTTTCAGTGTAAATAAGAATTAAAATGATTAAAATGAATAATTGATAATTTGAAATAGGAAGAAAAGGTCCAAAGGGGTAGGGGAAGTGGGAGGGGTAGGGGAAAGGAAAGGAGGGAAAGGAAAAATTATGAGAAAAGAAAAAAAATGGAAACAAATTCTGTGTAAATGGGGAAGGGTTGGGGGGGGTGAAGGGCACACAGGTAATGGGGAGAAAATAAGAACCAAGATACATCATGTTCAGGTACAAGTACCCAATGATAAATGTAAACAAATTGTATACCTAAAATGTACCAATAAAAGAATTTAAGGGAAAAAGAAAGAAAGAAAGAAAGAAAGTGCTTATATCACTAGCCAAGATGATGATTTACCATTCCTAATTTATATTTGTTTGTTATAACATTCATTCAAAATATCATTCACTTATATTTACTGAGTGGTTACCTTGTGCCAGCCATTACTGTGGGTGCCAAGATGAAGTTGTGAACAAGACAGGCAAAAATCCCCCCTCTTGAACTTTACATTCTAATGTGAAAGGGAAAAATAACTTGTAAAAGTATTAGCAAATGGTGATTTATGTCTTGGCTGTTCACAATTGATCATTACGTTGTATAAAACAAGAATACTTGAGGTTCATAGATCTTAAATTTATTATAATTTAGATATTTTTGACAAAAAACTAGCAAAATATATGGAATTTATTAATGTTTATTCTGTTTTCTAATTTTGTGATTACAGATAAGTAAAAGAAGAAAATATGAATTTCTCTGATACTCAAACAGACATACACCATGTAATGGAAGTCATTGTTCGCTCTCCTTTGTTCTCTCTCTCCTGAGGGATAAACCTAGACACAGTGTTGGCAAACCTTTTAGAGCTTTCAGTGATAACAAACAGCCTGCTGTGGCACAAGCCTTAGGTTTGCTTCATAAGTGCTCTACTACTAAGCTTCATCCCCAGGCCTATTTTTTTTGTTTTTTTGAAATAAGAACTTACTAAGTTGCAAGGCTAGCCTCAATTTTATGATCCTCCTGTCTAACCCTCTGGAGTAGCTGAGATTACAAGTGTGCGCCACCATAGTTAGTTTCTTAGTTTCTCATCACAATTTAATATTTAGAATGTCTGCTGAATACTTCTGTTAGTAATTTTTTTAAAGTAGTCTAGGTAGAAGTCTTTCCAGGCTGCTTTTGATAAGTGAAGTTTCTGCATAGTCAAGGGCCGGGGCTCAGTGGTTTTGCTGCCTGCCGCACAAGCTCAAGGACCTGAGTTCGATCCCCAGTACCAAAACAAAACAAAAAAATCCTCTGCATAGCCAAATCATGCCTTCTAATGATGCAGAATATTTATGCACTGATTTAGCTTGCATTGGGTTATCCTTGTAGTGTCTTATAAACTGATAATTCTTCCTATGAGAATAGTTCTTAGAGTTAAAAATTGTATTTATGCATAACAATAATTGATTTTAGACTTTAAAGGGGGAGCATAAGACAATGATATTGTTTTTACAAGCTGCCCAGAGGGGTATGGTCTCCATCATTCCATTATCAAGGGTAAAATGTAAAGAGATAATAAGCAGTTCTGAAGGAATAAGATTAAATATCTTTTTTTCTCATTTTCTATACTGTATTTATATACCTCAATATATTCTACAATGTATTTAACATGTGGATGAGAGATTTTTAGTTCAGAAAGTAGTTTGTGGTATGAATCACAAAGACAAATGTTGTGGGCTAAATACCTCCCTCACCTCTCAATCATATGTTGAAATCCTAATCCTCTGTGCCACATAGGGCCATTAATGAAGTATTGAAAATGAGGTCATATGAGTGGGCCCTGATCCAACAGGACTGGTGTCCTTACAAGAATGAAACTAGTACACAGAGGAACAACCATGTGAGGACACAGCGAAAGTGGCCATTTATAAACCAAGTTGAGCAGTTTCACAAGAAACCAACCCTGTCAGCACCTCGATCTTGAAATTCTGGGTTCTAGCCTCCACAGTTGTGAGAAAATAAATTTTTGTTGTTTTTAATCTGCCCAGTCTATGGTACTTTTCTATAGCCCTAGCAAATAAATATAATTAATAACTTTTAAAAATTTGTGACTAGTTGTAGGATTAAGTTTTTTAAAAATTGGCACCAAAAACACACTTATTTTTGTCTTAACACTTTTGTTGAACTTTATTTTACCCTCAGAGTTTTCAAGTCAGCAGTATATATTCTCTTTGGT